CAATTACAACTCGAGTGTACTAGGCTGCCCAGTGACCGAAGAACAAAAAAACTGTGTGACGTGCTTTCTTAATGGGGTAACAGGGGGAATCTACGCCTGTTCAGGAAAAGGTAACAAGGGCATCCTAGGCTGGGCAGTCTAAGCCCCTAAACCCAAACACTATATGAAATTCGAAGACCAGTAAAGTGTAGGCTAAACGGAAACACTGGCGATCCAAACCTTTCAAAAACGTAAGGACGCACCAGTGCCTGGCTCAGGCGCGGAGGATGGCCTCAAAGCCATTTTGGAGTGTGCGGCTTTGGGGCTACATCAACGAATAGGTATACTAACAAAAACTACGAAATGTCAAGCAGAACTATGAAATTAAGAAGAAAAATATAACATTTCCCCTGGGTCTGCTGCCGGTCTCCCCTTTGGCCGGTTCACCCTCTCTGGGACCCCAGGGGCGGCAGTAAGGACTGGTGTGTGCGTCTTGGTGTGCGTTTTGGTTTGTTTTGTCTTGTTTTTGTTCCTTTCTTTTTCTTTCTCTTATCTTTGCCCCTCTGTCTGTTTTCAGTCCGACGAGCACCCAGTTGGTGGGTCCATGGGGGGGGGCAGTAGGGCGATAGTGCTGGATACTGGAGCGCTGGCTTCCCTGCTGGATGCTGCGTTTGGGAGGACCCTACGTGGAGGAGCGGGGAAGTGGACGGGCAGTGCCGCGTCTTCGTCCCGCGGCTCCAGCGATACATGGATATTGAGCTATATATGCGCAATGATTGGTCTCTTTGTTTTTCTTGTTTTTTGGTTGGCACAGGCGGTGCGTCCCCGTTTACCGTTGCTGCTGCTGTGCCAGGGAAAGGGGCTGGGAAAAGTCAGCAAACGACTGCTTCCGTTCGTTCGCTCGTTCGTCCGTCTGGTGCGTTTCGTGTTGTTGTTCCCCGTTGCTGTTCCTGCGCGTTGTGTTGCTGGGGTTTGCTCTTTAGGCCTTGCGCCGGAGGGGCTACCTTTTTGTTAGGCCAGGCTCGTGCCTCGGTCGATGCTCACCTCACCTCACCTCACCTCACCTCACCTCACCTCACCTCACCTCACCTCACCTCACCTCAAAAAATGACATATGTATATATATATATATATATATATATGCTCACCCCCCCCCCCCCATGATCTAGGTCGAAAGGCCTTTCGGGCCCATCGAAGCGAGATTTAAACCTAAGTCGGAATGAAAATTAAAAGGCCACTGGCCTCATTCGTAGTAAAACTTTTTTTAGAAATCTAAATTTGCCAATTAAAAGCCGCACCCTATGAAATCCTCTTCTGGGGCCTGCCTGTCCGTAACAAAATCTCACAAGAGCTTTATATGCAGAGGTTACAGCCTCAGAAATCCTCATCTGGGCTTCCTTCCTATTTTATTGAGAAAATGCTTCTACATAAGAAGCCCACACCCTACGAAAAGAATTCTATACTTAAAGGCCACACCCTATGAAATCCTCTTCTGGGCCCTCTTAATGAAATTTCAGTAGACTTGTGTCTGATAAAGCCACAGCTTCGTTCGTAATTAACCCAAGTAAAAAAATATTAAGAGGCCCAGCCCCAAGACATCCTCTTCTAAGCCTCATTGATTAATACCTATTTAGAACATTTTTGTTTTTCCCACACCTTGTGAAATCTTTCGCTGGCCCCATTCGTAATGAAACGCAATTTGATTTCATATTGTAAGCCCACACCCTAAGAAATCCTCTTCTGGGCTTCGTTCGTAATTGAACCCAAGTAAAGCAAGTGTATATTCAGAGGCCAACCCCAGGACCTCCTCCTCGCAATGAAACCGAGTTAGAATTCTATATTGCAGACCATACCCTATGAAATCCCTTTCTGGCCCCTATTTGTAATGAAGATTAATTAGAATTCTGTATTACAAAGCCACACGCCAAGAAATCCTCATTAGACCTTCGTTTGTAATTAGACTTATTTTCGATTTGCCAAGATGCTTGTATTAAAAAAAGCCACACCATTCTGGGGCCTGTTCGTAACAGAATCTCGTAAGAAGTTTACAATTCTAGGTAAGAAGCCCACACCCTAAGAAGTTGTGACCTAGGCTAGGTTCGTATGTAACTCTTGGACAGAAATTTATATCATGAGCCCCCATTTGTATTTGAATGTACTTACAATTCCATATTTAACCGCTAGGCCCTATGAAATCCTCTTCTGGTGCCTATTAGTGAAATGTCAATAGACTTGTATATGATAAAGCCATAGCTTCGTTAGTAAATTAAACCCAAGTCAAACAAACAAATTAAGAGGCCCCGCCACAAGACATCCTCTTCTAAGCTTCATTGGTTAATACCTATTTGGAATTCTATTTTGCAGACCACACCCTATGAAATTCTCCCCTGGCCTCGCTTCATACTACAATGTTATTTGAGGTTTGTATTAAAACGCCACACCCTAAGAAATCCTCATCTGGACTCGTTTGGAATTCCACTTAAATTGAATTTTAAGTTTAGAGGCCACACCCCTTTGGACAGAATTTAAAAGGCCACACCCTAAGACCTGTGTATGGTAAAGCCACAGCTTCGTTCGTAAAACCAAACCAAGTAAAACAATTAAGAGGCCACGCCCTTCTAAGCCTCATTCGTTACTACCTCTTTGGAATTTCATTTTACCGACCACACCCTGTGAAAGTCTCCTCTGGCCCCGCTTCGTAATGAAATGTAATTTGAGGTTTGCACTAAAACACCACACCCTAAGAAATCCTCAACTGGACTTCCTTTGTGATTCCACTTAAATAGACGTTTAAATTAAGAGGCCACACCCCAAGACATCCTCTTCGAAGCCCCACTCTTTTTTAAGTCCAATTAGACTTTTGAATTGCAGGTCCACATCCTCAAAAGAACCACACCCTAAGAAACCCTCTCTATTTCTTTTTTTTATTACTTTTCATATTAAGACGCCACATCCCAAGACATCCTCTTTTAAGCCTCATTCGTAATTAAATCTAATGGAACTTTACATGTTAACGCCACGCCCTGCATACCGAATAGGCTGAATTGAAAAAAAAACGAATGGTGGGTGTGGTTGTGTGCTTTTCTCTGTGTGTGTGCAAGGCAGTCACATTAGCAGAAACAACGTATAACAATACACATTCTTTATACAAGAAAAGTATTTTTTGCAAAATTTGCTTAAAAAAAAACCCAAAAATCCAAAAATCCAAAAATCCAAAAATTCAAAACCATGGAGCCGGGAGGCCGCCTTTTTTGGATTTTTTGGTTTTCTCGAGGTTTTTTTGGTTTTTTTTGGAAAAATCCAAAAAAAACCATGGTTTTTTTTGGATTTTACTTGCTCCTGGCCTCAAAAACCTAAAAAACACATTGGTTTTTTTTGGATTTTGAGTGAAAATCCAAAAAAACCCTCGTGTTTTTTTAGTTTCTGAGACCAGGAGCACCTGAAATCCAAAAAAACACGAGGGTTTTTTTGGATTTTCACTCAAAATCCAAAAAAAACCATGTGTTTTTTAGGTTTTTGAGGCCAGGAGCAAGTAAAATCCAAAAAAACCATGGTTTTTTTTGGATTTTTCCAAAAAAAACCAAAAAAACCTCGAGAAAACCAAAAAATCCAAAAAAGGCGGCCTCCCGGCTCCATGGTTTTGAATTTTTGGATTTTTGGATTTTTGGATTTGTGTCAAAATTTGCAAATTCTGCAAAAAAGAAGTGTTTTTTGCATACAATTCTGTGTTTATAAGCCTGTCCTATGCAAATAATTCATAGACATGTTTACCAAATTGCATTTTCCTGTGTTTTTGGGGTGTTTTTTTATGTGGTGATGTGGAAGTAGTGCTAAACACACGCGTTTTTCACTATTTACAGGTTTTCTCGCATAGGACTAGACGTGCAAAAACAGGACATCGCCTAGCATAGCCAGCATGTCATTTTAATCGGTATTTACGAGGGTTTTTATAGAGACAAAGCAAAACCTAGATCATGGGGGGGCGGGTGACCATATATATATAATATGTGTTTTTATGTCATTCATACAACAGAAAAAAACAACAACATGCGCGCAGGATGAGATCTAGTCTCTAGCTTAGACCGATATCGTAGGGTTCAGGCTTGAGAGTCTTTAGGGGTTTGGGGTTGGACTCCAGTTGATCTCCCGAGTCAAGGTCAGAACAAGAAGTTCACCTACATCTTCGAGCAACTAAAGGCAACAGACGGGGTTTGGGGCTTAGGGCTTTGGGTCCAGGGTGTAGGGCTTACAGTTTAGGGCTTAGGGTTCAGGGTTTCAGGGTTTGCGGCACTCGGCGTAGTGGTGGGAACCACCATTGCTCGAACCTCAAATCGAGGATGCGCCTTTACGTCTTACAGTCTGTCTTACGCAGCTTCGGCTTCTGTAAATTCACGGTGCAAAGGAGCGTGCTAGTCTGCACGCTTCTTCTGCAGGCGGATCGCGTAGGAAATCGCTTACAATCCCACGGCAGCCATCAGCCAAAGCGCCCAAAAGCCAGTGCCCTAACAAAGGTAGGGTTTCGTCAAGGATGAGGGATGGGATGTGGGGTATTTCGGTTGCCTAACTTCTTTCTAAATCCGAAAACAAACTAGCACCCCACACCAAAACAGCGTTTAACACTCAACCGAAGCCCAATGACCCTAGACCCTACTTGAAGGTTCCTGGATACTTATTTGTAAGGTTATAAGTACCCCAAGTAAGGCTTTAAACATAGTTACCCTAAACCCTAAACCCAAAACCCTAAGTTACCCTACTTAGAAGTAGACTTGCAGAATCTCTGGCGAGGTACTGGACATTGATCATAGGAGCCGCACGCCCCAGGAGCGCCTCCTGGCATGGAACATGTCTCTGTGGGAGTTTTAATTTGGTTTAGGATTTAGGGTTTAGGGTAGTTTTCGGGTTCACGGTTGAGGAAGTGAAGGGGATAACTAAGGTTGGGCTGAGGATGGGGTTGGAGTGCCAAAGTTGTCCGTGCAATTCTTTTTCTGAGCGCCAGATCATCAGGTAGGGGAGCTGCGCATTTAGTCCAGCACGTAGTCCTTGCCGGAGTTGTTATCCCAATCAGCACCATTTGTGAAGACCAACTTCATGGAAGAGGCCCCCTCGGGAACATAGGCCAGAGCAGCCAGAACCTTGCTGCTGGTTAACAGGGAATGGGGGAAGGGAATGAGGTAACCTTTGGAATCCAGGGGGGGGGGGGATACCATGGGGGGGGGAGGGAGGGGGGGATATGCGCCCACGTTCCGCGTAATCGACCCCCCCCCTGGTATCCCCCCGCCCCCCCCCCCCCATGGCAACCCCCCCAAACCCTAAAAACACCACGGACCACGCGGGGGGGGACAGAAAAGCCTCAGCCTAAAAAACCCCAAACCATGAGCCCTACGCCCTAAAACTGAAACCCACCAATGAACGACGGGAGGGAGAAGGGTGAACCCGAAACCTTTGCTTCCTTAACCCTGAACCCTCAACCGTAAACCCACCACGAACCACAGGGGGGAGGGGGGAAACCGTAAACCTATCATTACCCCAAACCTTGAACCCTAATCCAACTCTAAACCCACAGTGAACCAATGGACCAGAGTGAAAATCCTGAACCCTTCAGCCTAACCCTAAACCCTTAAACCCCAAAACCCATGAACCACGGATCATGAACCACGGGGGGGGGGGGGGGGGGGGAACCCAAACCCACCATGAACCACAGGGGGGCCATCGGGGGGGGGAGGGGGGGGGGGGGTGGGGTGCGCCTATGCTGGCCCATATATAGGGGGGATATGTTCTTATTGCCCCATTCCCTACTGCCCTTTTAACCCTAAACCCTAAACCCTAAAAAGCGCAGTAAGGAACCGGGCCATCGGCGATGTCGAGACCAGCAGGCAGCAGGTCGCACGTCTGGACGCCGCAGGACCAGTCATTGAAGCCAAGGTGCGCCTGGTGGTTGGGTTTAGGGTTTAGGGTTTAGGGTTTATAGGGTTTATAGGGTTTATAGGGTTTATAGGGTTTATAGGGTTTATAGGGTTTATAGGGTTTATAGGGTTTATAGGGTTTATAGGGTTTATAGGGTTTATAGGGTTTATAGGGTTTATAGGGTTTAGGGTTTATAGGGTATAGGGTTTAGGGTGTAGCACGGGTCAGCTGAACGCAATAGTGTGAAGACATGCCCACCCAAAGGCCACCCAATCACAACTCACTGCGAAACCAAACCGGAGCCAGCCAAAGCCAAGCCAGCCATTCACAATCCGCGAAACCGAGCCGGAGCCAGCCCAAACTAAGGCAACCATTCAAAATTCACACGTCGAACACTCTTAGAGGATTTTGAAACTAGTTAGAACAGCCCAAGCCTTTAGTGACTAGACTTCTGGGTTTTTCTTGGGGCCATACGGCAAAGGACTCCCCTTCAGGTTTACGCGAAGGGGACGGTCTGGGCCGAAGGGCCCTCTCGCAGAAAACTCAGGCGTGAACAGGTTGCAGGTTGTGGGTCACTTGGGGCCATAAGGCAAAGGACTCCCTTTCAGGTTTGCGCGAAGGGGACGGTCTGGGCCGAAGGGCCCTCTCATAGCAAATTGAGGCGCGAAGAAGTTGCACAGACAGACACGCCAATTTTTTTCAGGGGTGCAGTCTAGCAAAAAGTCCGAAGGCTTGGATTGGGAAGGAAATTTTTGGGCCTTGCCCACGAACCAAAAGGCTCAAACATTCGTGGGCAAGGCCCAAGAATTGCCACGAATTTTTGGGCCTTGCCCACGAAGAGTTTGTGGGCCTTGCCCACGAACTTTTGGGCCTTGCCCACGAATATTTGGGCCTTGCCCACGAATACCATTAAGGTTTATAATTATATGGTAGGAGAGGTTTAGGGTTTAGGGTTTAGGGTGTAGGGTGGAGGGTTTCGGGTTTGGAGGTAGGACTGTTGGTATAAGGGGGAATACTAACAGCTCGTTAAGAGGGATTCTAGTACCTCCCCCCAATTATAACCCCCACTAACTTCGCTTACTTCGCTTACACTTCAGCTCGCTCAAACTGCCCTCGGGCAATTGAGCGGGAGGGAAAGTGCGTGGTACCTCCATTTTGCAATGGCAGGTCGTTACTAAGGAGCTGTTAGTATAAGGGGGTAACATCCCAACCTGGAGGCACTTCCCCGGCGGAAGCTTCAGCTCCCCTTGCCGCACGAACAGCTCCATGGGGCCGGGCCTCAGCGGAGAAGGCCTTGGTAGCCCAGTGGGGCCCAGTAAGCACAATAAAACAAAGGTAGCCCTTTTTGTTGTTCACTTTATAAGGCAACCTAGAAAAAAAAAACAAAATAAAGGGCTGAGAATATAGTAAGGGTACCCCTTTTCGTTGGTTACTTTATCAGGCAACCTAGAAACCAAAATACAAAACAAAGGGCTTTAAAGGGAAGCACTGGGCTACCAGGACGCCTGGCCCAAAAAGGATGGTGAGAAGCACACGGCACTGCAAAGAGCCATCGCAAGGCGCCGGGCAAGCGGCGGCCCCAGTCACGCTCGTTGTGCCGACCGCCGGGCTCCACGAAGCTTAGCAAGCCTTCGTTGTCCGGTACCCTAGGTCAAGGGATTTTGACTCGTACTCTTAAGGTTGTATTCCTAAAGGTTCCCCTTAACATACTCCTAATATAGGCCCTAATGTCACCTCAATAATCCCCAAGTTCAAGGGCACAACCTTAAAGGTAAACCCCTGGACTAGGGGAACTAAAGGGGACCTTTAGGGTTTCATGAGATTTTAATTCACCAACAGGTTAAATGGGTACTTACAAGGAACTAAAGGTGCACCCTTTGGGGTTTTATAGGGGTTTAATACACCGAAAACGATTTTAAAAGTGTATTTTTACTCTACGACTGAGAAGCCCGATCCAACATGAGGACGGAGGTGTTCTGCACATTCTGCACAAGCATCTCGCAGAAATGCATCGCATTCCAGGCTGCCTGGCCTGTCGGTTCCACGGAACCCAGTGTACTCGAACCTTGGGGACCAAAAATGAACCCTCCACTTGGGGTCATATACCCTATACTTCACTACAACCAGAAGCCCTTTTGGGGTTCATCTGAATATGGTGTTCACAAACCCGTTTAGGGTTCACAAAAAAACTTGCCCCCAAGGAACTCCCCCATGGCCAAGTAGATTCGACCCGGCCAAGTCTCCTGCTTCGCCACGTCAGTCATGAAGCGCCCGTCGCCCGCCCAAAAAGACCTTCGTTGCTGAGTGTCATAAGAGGGTTGAGGGTTTAGGGTTAGGGTTCATCATAAGCCCCCAAAAGTGTACACTGATGTACACTGTCAGTTTTGGGGGGATTGCAGTATCCCGTAAAGTGTACTCATTCAGCTACAAGGAGGCGGCGACTCCACGAGCACTCCTGCCCAGGAGCTTGGATATCCTTAGGTTTTCAGTGACCCTAGGGCCCTAGGGTTTCGGGTTTAGAGGTAAAAAAAGTCGGCTACCGCCCAATATAGGGAACCCAGAACCCAACAAAGAAAAACACATAACAGTATACCACTGAACAGCCGGGTATCTCATGGCCATGTACCTATAGTTCATGGTTGGGATAGTATTTAAAGATCGGAATTTCTATTCCTTAGTGAGTTTAAGTCAGTTTAAGTACCCGGAAAAATGTAAAATGTCACCCCACTATGACAAAGGTACAGCGTGCAGATGCCGCCGAAGGAGGAGCCCCCAAAGAACCGATCTTCGGGGACCGGAGACAGGCCGAAGTGCTCCTCTGCCCATGGAACCAGCTCGCTCATCACCTTCTCCAAGTAGGAGTCACAAGCGGGTACAGATGCGTTTGGGGTTTGGGGTTTGAGGCTTAGAGTTTGGGGTTTAGGGGTTGAGAGGCTTAATTAGGGGCTTTGGGGTTTTGGGTGTAGGGGTTGAATAGCTATGATGGCCCCTCTGAAAACTCTTCCTGAACTTCCACCCAACGAGGGAAAATATGAAAATATACCAAGGGCCTACCTAGTCACCTTCTCCAGGTAGGAGTCCACACCTCCTCCGGGGGCATCCCACATGTCTCCACGCATACCCTTGCCCCAGGGTGCATCCCAGCCAGTGGGCGGTACGGAGAGGTAGTCCTGGGTCCTCAGACGGCCCGCATGGTCGATGCCCAGCAAGAGGATCTCGGGAATCGCCCCACAGCCGATCAGGTGTGCCACGGTGCCGGCCGCGCCCCAGGAAGCGCCCCCGAAGGCCTCCTCGTCCCTGAAGAGGTTCTGGCCATCGTTGAGCCACAAGGCTTTCGGCACGCTGCCTCGACTCCACCCGGGCGGTGTCCAAACTCGAACCAGGCGGTCGCCGATCCAAGAGAAGTGATGCAGCCGGCCGCCGCAGAGATCCGTGGACCACCTCTCCTCCAGCCCCATGGGCGGGCCCTACGGAGGCTTCCTTCGTCTGACGTAGATCTTCTGCTCGAGTTTCAAGGCTTCCCGGGATCTAGACGCTTTACCCCTAAGGTTGTGCCCTCAATATGGGTTTCCTTCAACACCTCTCGTGGGGCTTGGGGCTTCAGAGTTGCAGCTGACAATCAAAGGCGTGGTAAGAGTCATAGAGGTTCCCAGACCTCTGAACCAACCTAAAAGCCATCAAGAGTCCAGGCTGCGAGGCCTTGCAAGGTCAGCGAACCTTCAACACCCCAACCCCCCAAACCCATGGAGAACACAAAACTAAAACCAGTTGCAAAACACTCAAACCAACTACTAAAACCCTAAACCCAGAAAACAAAAAATCGAAAAAACAAAAAACACGCGAGGCTGAAGCTCTGTAACTCGAAGACCATCAGCCCTTCAGCTCTCGTAGCCCCAAACCTTCGAACCCTCATCCCTGAACATTCAACCCTAAGCCCTACTTGAAGGTTCGCAGGTACCTATAAGTAGGGTGATAAGTGCTCGAAATAGGGCTACAAGCATAGTAGCCCTACTTATAACCCTGCTGGAAAGTAACCACGAGCCTCCAAGTAAACCCTGGAACCCAAAACCCTAAGACCCAAAACCCAAAACCCTAAACCTTGGAACCCCCAAACCTGCAGAGTTGGGCTTCGATCTTCGGGCTGGCAATTGTAGGGCTTTGGGCTGGCAGAGGGGCTCAGGCGCTGAGGTTGGAGTTTAGGGTTGCGGGTTTGGGGTTCAAGGTTTAAGGTTTAGAGTTTAGGGCTAGGGTTTAGGTTTAGGGCTCCAGGAAACATCTAAAAAGTTTTCCTTTTCTGAGAAACAGCTACAACTTGAGGGGCCAGGAACGTCGAACTCGGAAAATGCATGGCCGAGGCACCCATCCTCGATGTGCCGGCCTGTGGCTAGGTTTAGGGTTAGGGTTAAGTTCAGGGTTTAGGGTTTAGGGTTTCGGGTTTCGGGTTTAGGGTTTAGGGGTACTTCAAGGCTCAGTAAGGTACTTCGAAGTTGGTTCAGGAGGGTTTCGGGTTTAGGGTTAGAAGTACCCCAAAAAGAGTTACAACCATACTTGCCCTACTTACCCTATTAACCCTACTTATCAGTTTACCTGTGAACCTCCAAGTAAGGGCATGATCCTAAATCCGTATACCCTTGCGGGTGGGTTCGGGGTTTGGGGTTTAAGGTTTCGGGTGTGGGGTTTGATCTTTCAGGGTAGGAGGTCAGCCCGAAAACCCAACACCCTCCAGTAGGGTTCAACTAGGAATTGGACCTTCAGCTTTAGTTCGACTCCAACCTTTTTTCTCCTTTTTTTCGGGGGGGGGGGGGGGGGGGGGGGGGGGGAGGGGGGAGGGGGGGGGGGGGGGGAGGGGGGGGAGGGGGGGGAGGGGGGGGAGGGGGGGGGAGGGGGGGGAGGGGGGGGAGGGGGGGGAGGGGGGGGAGGGGGGGGGGGGGGGGGGGAGGGGGGAGGGGGGGGAGGGGGGGGGGAGGGGAGGGGGGGGGAGGGGGGGGAGGGGGGGGGGAGGGGGGGGAGGGGGGGGAGGGGGGGGGGGAGGGGGGGGAGGGGGGGGAGGGGGGGGGGGGGGAGTGCAGATTAGCGTTGCACTGCAGAAGATTGAGGTTTAGGGTTGATACATGGTCCTTACTTGGAGGTTCATGGCACCTATTAACCAATTATAACTGTACTTATAATCTGTGCCTACAACCATTATTAGGGTACTTACGGGGCTTATATTATCAGTACAGTTGTAAGTACAGTATAATTGGAGAATAAGTACATGAACTCCAACTAAGGGATGTTGGAAGGTGGGAATCTTAAGTACCAACAGTGGGTTTGGGTAATGGGACGGACCATGCCAGCGTAAGCCGAACATAAAGGGCACCACAAAGAAACCAACACTTGATACATAGTTGGATGCTACTACACGCATAGACTTATATATATATATATATATAAAATGATTATTTTAGAACCGATGCTATCAGACTGTAATATAGGGGCCTTACACAAGGAAACTCACCACACTTTTCCTCAAGCGGCCATTCTCTGAAGGAAAGGTGCTCCACTGTCTGCCAGCTTTTTAGCCAGAGTTTAGGGATGAGAAGGTATCGGTCTTACCTCAAAGTTCAGCTGGCAGGGACAGCAGACAGAGGAGTACCGTTTGGGGTAGCTATCCCCTCGGTCCCAGCAGTACTGCACAGGGTGGGACTGGGAGGGCAACTGCAAGCCAAAAGCCTACAGATATCGTCAAAGTGTTCAGTTTCCTTACTCGCGTAATCGCAGTCTCAAGGAAACTCACCACACTTTTCCTCAAGCGGCCATTCTCTGAAGGAAAGGTGCTCCACTGTCTGCCAGCTTTTTAGCCAGAGTTTAGGGATGAGAAGGTATCGGTCTTACCTCAAAGTTCAGCTGGCAGGGACAGCAGACAGAGGAGTACCGTTTGGGGTAGCTATCCACGCCCCCCACTCGTTGCGGAGCGAAAAATGGTAGGATGTGCTGCCCAGAAAACGCGCGAAAGCTCACACATACGAGGAGTTTCTGGGAAACGGCTGTCTGCGAGGGCGGCCATAGCCGCATGAACATACACACGACATGTTTTTTCAGACATCCACCTACCTAACAAACACAACTGTGGCCAGGAGGCATGACGATTGTAGTGAAACGTGGCGCCTCCTCGGCGTAAACTGTAGGGTTTGAAACCGAAATCGTGCAACGAAAGATCGCACAGTAAACGTGAAAAATGCCTGCGAAACGATGTTTGGGATACAGGGATCAGCTCATTACATGCTTCAGTGTCCAAACACCAGGCTCGAAGCACAGCGTATAGCTTCGGGAGAGTCACTGTAACAGAGTCCTGCAAACCTTTCTGGCCCGAGGTTTTTGTGAAGCCCAAATGCAACACTACTGACGAGCAGTCGTCAGCGAAAGAGACGTGCGACTTGTGAAGTCCCAGGAGCTCTCCTGTACGTAGAACCCCATAGAATCCAATCACGAGACATCGCGCCAGCCAAAAAAGATTTTGCTGCAAGCCAAAAGCCTACAGATATCGTCAAAGTGTTCAGTTTCCTTACTCGCGTAATCGCAGTCTCATGGAGGGCCCACAAGCAAAAAAGGACCAGCGAGGCCTTCCCGGCAGATCCGGAGGCCACGATGGCATCAAAGAGCTCGCCTTGTCTCTCACCAAAACAGCGCGATTTTTGATGTCGGGAATTCAGGGCTCAAGGCCTAAACCCCAAGCACCACAAAGCCCTAAACGAAGCGTGAATCCAGCAATTCCCCATGCCGAAGACCCCAACTCGCAAGACCTTAGGAGGTTTTGGGCTCAGGCTTTAGCAGGTTATTTGTCGCTGCAGCTCGGGTGCCCAAGGACACCGCTGGGGCCACAGTAATCTCTCCCTCCATGGAGATCTCCACCACTGGGTGTCCGGCCAAGAGGCCTTCAAAGGGCTCACCCGTCCCAGAAACCCCTCTCTCCACAGTCGGAACGTTCATAATCAAGTTCGGATCCCAATGTGCTAATTGTACAAGGAGTACTGAAGCTGCAAGGACTCCGGAGACGGAACGCGACTCTGCCAACCTAGAAAACCTATCGCGACGAGCGGCCCATGCTCAGCACGCGGTCGAAGGAGAACTTCGTCTGGCTGCCGGCGCCGCTGACGCCGCAGGCCATGTTGTACGCCCTTGAAGAGGCCCTAAAACCCTAAAGCCCTAAAGAACCAAAGCCCTAACGGCCCTAACCCTACAGCGAGCTCATCCCAAAACCCTAAACCCTAAACCCTGCACAAGTCCAATTCTCTCCAAGTTGCCACGGCTTCATAAGGCCTTGCTGTGTGTGAGGCTTCGGGGCGAAAGGGTGCAACTCTTCTCCCATGGTCACAGCCACGGCACTGAAGTCATACCTTACAGCTGTGGTTGAGGGGTTAAGACGCGGCACGCTTTTGCCAAAGCGACTGTTCCTAGCAGTTTTTCGAGTGGGCAATGGTCGAAGGGCACATTTACGAAGTCGTAGGGACGTTAAGGGCTTCTGGTTTAAAGGGGTAATGGCACGTACGTTTACACGGTTTTGAATGAGTATCTGGCCTCCTGCAACCGACAGAATAAGGTGTCGTCAAGGAGCTCGAGCGTTGACCACGGCCGAGGTCGAATCGCCACAAAGGATACCTGGTGCCTCAGATTTATGGACCAGTTTCAGCTTGCTTCGACCATCATGTCTATACGGCCCTCTTTGCAACAGACCCCTAAAACTCTGAGCCCTGTATACTCTATGAACCTCACCCGGGCACACTAGCGGAACCCGCCGGGATGCTTCTTGTGGCCCTGCCAAGCGGTGACAGCACAAACAGCCCCATCCTGGGAGTAAAACTTGTCATCGACCGCGGAGATGCCGCCGGCCTTCGACCCCTGGTCCTGCTTCTGAAGGACAGGGCAGTAGCTAAGGCTCCACAAGCTTTCAGTTTGTCTGTTGAGCTTTGGCTGCGGCTTTGGCATGCGTTTGATTCTCTTCCGGTCCACGTAGCTGAGGACGCCCGTGGCGGCGCTCACGGTCAGCCACGCTACCTCCGGAGCACAGCCCAACTCGAAGTTGGACCAACCTCGGGGACCAAACGAACCCGAATGTTAGGGTTACGTACCCCAACTTCGGATCACTTCGGAATCTTGGACCAAGAACCCATCTCTTGGATTATTTCGTCCCCAAGGAGCCGGTGCCGGTTGTCAGGGGCGCCTCGGAGCCATGGGCATGGAAAAGCAGCGTGGCCGAACTGTAGCTGAGGAGGTCGGCGGCTACCGTCACGCTGCTTGCAAGCATCACACCGGCTGCTTGGTGGGCGGTGACCTCGCACTCAAAAGAGAAGGCCTCCGTGGGTTTCGACCGGCCGGACATGTGGGAGATCGTGCCTGTGGTGCTGTCCATGGTGCCTCCGGGCCTTTGCAAGCGTCCTCCTCCTCTAACTTCTGGGGCTCCTGCTGTAAGCCCGCGTCCCGCTTCTCCAGGCGTTCGACAGCACTCTCCAGGTGCTCCACTACGCTGAGCACCTGGCGGGTTCCCAAGTAACCTCTTGGAGACAAACAAGTACTTGTCTTGTTGGAAAAGAAACCAAGACCCCAAAATTTCAATATGAGTAGTTGCTAATGCACGTCCTAGGCACACTCTGAAGATCATCGCGCCGGGCCTGCAGCAAACTTGGCGAGCTTGCTGGGCACTCGGTCGGGGCCAATGCCCGCACGAGCGCCAGAAGGCATGCCAGAGCAGCCACCACATGGGCTGCCGTTGTCATTGTGGCCCTGTAGGCCAGCACGGTAAATGCAATATGGTAGAATATCCGAAAATGACCGGGCACTCAAGGTCTAGTAGCTACAGCGTCGAGCTGCTTGGGCCACACATGTGCGCGCACGCATAAAACGCAATCTGAACATGATTCAACATGCATGTCCGCATGCTTACCTGCAGTCAGCTCGGTAACGGCTCAAGACAGCGCTCATGAATCGCGACGGTCAAGTCGCCGAGAGACTCGAGCCCTACTTTTGGTGATGCACATGAACGCCACTGCAAGTGCTCGAATTGCATCCGATGAGCCCCAACAGTTCCCAACACGAAAACCCTGAAGCCATCCGGTTCTTAAAGGGAATTCAAATTTCAAATGCTTCAATTATTGAAATCAGGACCCCGTCCAGTAGTTGTAGTAGTTGTTGTCGTCTTCAACTCTCTTGCCGTCCGTCAGCTCTGCAACTGTGATCGTGCCTTGGAACATGAAACATATTGCAAAAAGATCCCCCGCAGGGCTGAAGAAGAAGCACTTTTTGCGTGGTCATAGAGAAGACATATGCGCGTCTTCGTTTTGCAAGCGCTTAGGGGTTTCGACTCTCACACTTGCACACGCGAGGCTTCGGGCACGATGTCCAGACAGCAGAGAGTGTATATTAGAGTACCCGCCAAGTTCAAGAAGAAAAGAAAGGCAGTGAAGGATGGTGAAGGCTTTAGAAGGTTCGGTAGCGCCCAATCTGCATGCGGCGTGCGGCGACTCTGTATGATGCTAATTGAGAGGCTTGAGGCCTCGAGAAGGCTGCTGCTGCTGCTAAGATCCATGTGAAACGCCGAAGTTTTGCAGCCTCTTGGCACTGGGTATGATATTGCCTCGCTTCTTCGGGTGATGGCTCTCGTGCGCAGAGAAAAAAACTATCGTATTGCACCGTTTCGGGTTTACGGTGGCCGGGCAAGTCTTTTCCTTTTTGCCAGTAATGGGACGGAAGCTCTGGTCTGTCGACAGCAACCTCTTTCTGCCAGGAGGCCGTCAGGGATCCGAGCGGACAAGGGGTAGTACGGGTAGTCAGGGGTTGTACGCCCTCCAACTTGGGCCGCAATGGCCTCATCGCAGGTTGCCCCCCTTACCTCTCCTGAGCCCCCACGTTCTGGACACGCGTGAAGTACTAAAAAAGATGCAACAGTCCAGAACAAGGTGCCTTCGGCATCTTGGCGCTATATACAAGCGCCATGCCAAGCGTCTTGCTTGTCCGATGGCGAACCTATCGGGGACCTACAAACCCGACGCCCCGTCCCGTATGATTGGTGTTGTTGCTGAAGATGGCCTTGACGAAAGCCTGAGCTGGCTGCTAGGAAACTGACATCTGAATAACCCCATGAATGAGTATGTCCCTTTACAGCAGAGAGGACGGGAATCGAGAGTTTCCAAGAACACCACTCAACTGTCGACAAGCACAACAAACTTAAACAGCTTAGGTATACTTGAATACCATGCACTTGCTACAGGCCCTGCAAACATCTAAGCTAGGATTTTGTTGTTGACCTTGAGAAGAAGATGTTTCCGTGGATTGGGCCCGAGGGATGTGCAGGGGAACTTGAACAGGGACCAACTGACACAAGACCGTCGTCCGATTCCTCACAGACTGCCGCCCAGAAACACCGACGGCTCTGACAGGATACAAAAGCACCTTTGCAACGCACTTGCCGTAGCCGAACAGGACCTCGCGTCGCTTGCGTTTCGATTACTGCGACAACTGCTGCTAAACCTCCTGGTCCTAACCTCCTGGTCCTAACCGGCATACAGCAAAAACAAGCAAGCTACCTACAAGCTACAGCTGCAAAGGTAGAGCTGAACAAGTAAGCCACCTTGCTGATCCCGCTCATCACTCCGCCCGACTTCTTAACCACAGCTCCGTTGCCAGCCTGGGATGCCCAGGCCGTGGCACATGGGTGGCTTTGCAACATCTGAAAGATTTTGTAAGGGAATACAATGATTTCTCAGGATGTTCTTCAGGATTTAGGTTAGCTCGTTGCCGCGCTTCAAGTCAGGTTCGCGATTCAGATTCAGAAGGCTCAACAAACGGCTAGTTCGTAGTCCGTCCAAGCTCCTTGCTTGAACTTTCCTTCGGATCAGGCCAGAGATGCCAAGGCACATGGGCGTCGGTTTCTTCGCCGGCTTCGTTCGAATCCCCTGCAATAGCATTGTAGCCGGCGACGCCAACGCAGCCCACAAACGTCAAGAAGATGAATAGTCCAAAAAGTACCGCCACTGCTTGCCAAGCACCTATGCTGTTTTTGCAAGACAGTATGAACTTACACATGAACTTGGTGTCTTGACCAGACTCAATCTGATCTACTCTGAATCTCTGAGTTTCTGAACATGGTGGGAACCCCCACCCAATTTGTAAACCAAAGCATACAACCGGTAGGATCTCCCAACCGCCACGATTCATGATGCTTGCCATCACGAGCCATGCGGCTTACTGCAGCGATGGCGACGACGATTAGCACCATTACCTTGGGTTTCAGCCGTCCGCCTATGATATCGAGATACGAAACCCATCCTGCAACAGCAACATGGCCGTTTTCTCAACCCTAAAACCTAAATCCTAAACCCTAAGCCCTATATCCTAATGCCTGCGTAGTCGAAGGTTGCAGTTCCCAAAGGGGCTTGTCGCGCAGGTTTGTCGCGGACGCTGCTTGTTGCAAGCAGAACGGTTTTGTTACAAACCTTATTTCGCGAAAAGACGCTCGGGAGCCATTTACATACCTAGACTTTTGACCCGCGCCCGCCATTCCGCCATTCAAGGGAGGAGTGGGGAACTTCGTGAAACAGGTGGGGGGGTGGGGGGGGGAGGGCATCATTGAAATTCCCACAAACCCGTGGATTCCTTAGCTGGGGCCCTTGCTCACGAATGGGGTCAAAACGGCTTAAGCGAGGCGTGAAGCCCTGATTCAGAAATCCGCATGTCGCACCCATAAATTCATGCCAAAACACAAAACATAGACATCTTCCAAAAGAGGGCACCGGATCATAATTAAAACAAGTGATTGGTGTCATTTTAGGTTTGTGCATCGACGTGAATGTCTCCTCGGCGCTGCCTGAAGGTTGCCTTTCTTCCTTTCTTCCTTCCAGAGCACATAGTCCCTATTGGCGCTGCCCCAAGGGGCGCGCTTTACAGGTCCAGTTGGTGAGACGGCGTGTACAGAGAGTCTGGTTCTTTGAGCAGACATGGCTCTTTTTCTCTACTGCTCACTCTCCCTGCACCCACAGCTGTGTGTGTCCGATTTCGGGCTTTAGCGCCGGCCTAAGCAACAGGGAGCTGCGGAATGTTCACTTGCACTATGCAGCATCTCTGTAACGCTCGCACACTATTGAAATTAATGATCTGGCCATCCGGGATGGAAACGTTTCTGCAAGTCAGGCATCATCATGTCATGTTTCTGGGAAGTCTGGCGAGGGTCGGCAAATGATACTGCCCTCAAGCTGCGTTAAGAGTCGCAGCTGTCACTCATGGTATCAACAAGCTGAGCCCTCCCAGTCAAGCTCTGTGAAGCATTTTGATTTTGGACTCATCCCTTGAGCACGGTGCTCCGGCAGAAGACATGCTGAGCAGGGCCGCTCTTGCTAAACCTGCACCCAGTGTGAGCGGACAGGTTGCAGCTGTATACTGAACGCCACTAATCCTCTCAACCCACTGCGAGAACGTGCTGCAGTCCCATGCAATGAGTCCCACACAATGCACTCCATGGGTGATCCCAGTTTTGGGAGCCGATCAAGCACGTTAGAGTCAGCACAGCACCAGAGGCAATGTCCTCAATACCCTCAAGATCCCTCAAGGGTACCCCGGCCCCAGCAGTGTTTGTTGGTACCTGTGTTCTAGGCCGCTGTCAGTCCTTGTTTTGAAGGGGGGTGGCACCCGAGCACGACTGACCAAACACATTTTCGGGGTCGAATGCTCCAAATGAAGTGTCATTAGGGAGGGCATGAAAAGCGTGGTTAAGGAACAAAACAACCGGACCGCCGTGGACGGGGAACAGGAACACAACTTTTTCGTGGTTTTGGTGAGCCTCAGCCACTACTTGCCCCGTCACGCCGTCTGCGGTGCTCAGGTAATCACGGTCGTCGTGGGAGTCGAGGGTCTGTGGAGGCCACGGTGGCGTGTCGGTTTGTTTCACCCTCCCTTTCTCGCATCGACTCGAAGAGGAATTCGTGGGCTTCCCTCGCCGTGTGGGCTCGGGTGCTGATTTGTTCCGGAACTCCACTTGTGTGTTCCCGACGGAGCCCTGCACCCACCAATTCCATCAGCTCGTGTAGGAGTTTGATAGCTTCCCTGCATGCTCGTTCGCCACGGGCCATGGCTTCAGTTTCCTTTTTTGGTGGGTGCGTGATTGGGGTGGTTGTGGTGGTGGTAATCTTGGCTTCCCCTGATGGCTGCTTGGAACAGGGAGCTGATGGTGTGCAGGTACTGTCGCATCTCTTCCTTTGTGGTCGGGGCCAGCCCGCTCGGTGGTCGGAAAGTTCTGTGGCGAGTTGGATGCCTTCCTCGAGCTCTGGGTTTTCCAATGTTTCGTTCCTGGCCGGTCTGTTCGTGGAAGGGTCTGAGGGGTGTGCGGGCCGTGCTGGCGCATGTTGTGGTTCGTCGCGGGGG